TAAATGAATGCTGGAACGGTGATTAGGAGAGATAGCAAAAAGACAACATATATTAAGAGCTACAAAGTAGAGGAAATAGTGAAGAGCCATGTTCGATAACGTCCTGATAGGACCCGGCACATAGGTGCCAATAAAAAGAAGAATGAGAGTGAAGAAGAATGTGAGTCAATAAAATGAATGCTGGAACGGTGATTAGGAGAGATAGCCAAATGGCAACATATATTAAGAGCTACAAAGTAGAGGAAATAGTGAAGAGCCATGTTCGATAACGTCCTGATAGGACCCGGCACATAGGTGAAGAAGAATGAGAGTCAATAAATGAATGCTGGAACGGTGATTAGGAGAGATAGCCAAAAGACAAATATATTTAAGAGCTACAAAGTAGAGGAAATAGTGAAGAGCCATGTTCGATAACGTCCTGATAGGACCCGGCACATAGGTGAAGAAGAATGTGAGTCAATAAATGAATGCTGGAACGGTGATTAGGAGAGATAGCCAAATGGCAACATATATTAAGAGCTACATAGGTGAAGAAGAAAAGTCAATAAAATGAATGCTGGAAATAGTGAAGAGCCATGAAGAGCCATGTTCGATAACGTCCTGATAGGACCCGGCACATAGGTGAAGAAGAATGAGAGTCAATAAATGAATGCTGGAACGGTGATTAGGAGAGAGATAGCCAAAAGACAACATATATTAAGAGCTACAAAGTAGAGGAAATAGTGAAGAGCCATGTTCGATAACGTCCTGATAGGACCCGGCACATAGGTGAAGAAGAATGAGAGTCAATAAATGAATGCTGGAACGGTGATTAGGAGAGATAGCCAAATGGCAACATATATTAAGAGCTACAAAGTAGAGGAAATAGTGAAGAGCCATGTTCGATAACGTCCTGATAGGACCCGGCACATAGGTGAAGAAGAATGAGAGTCAATAAATGAATGCTGGAACGGTGATTAGGAGAGATAGCCAAATGGCAACATATATTAAGAGCTACAAAGTAGAGGAAATAGTGAAGAGCCATGTTCGATAACGTCCTGATAGGACCCCGATAACGGCACATAGGTGAAGAAGAATGAGAGTCAATAAATGAATGCTGGAACGGTGATTAGGAGAGATAGCCAAATGGCAAACATATATTAAGAGCTACAAAGTAGAGGAAATAGTGAAGAGCCATGTTCGATAACGTCCTGATAGGACCCGGCACATAGGTGAAGAAGAATGAGAGTCAATAAATGAATGCTGGAACGGTGATTAGGAGAGATAGCCAAATGGCAACATATATTAAGAGCTACAAAGTAGAGGAAATAGTGAAGAGCCATGTTCGATAACGTCCTGATAGGACCCGGCACATAGGTGAAGAAGAATGAGAGTCAATAAATGAATGCTGGAACGGTGATTAGGAGAGATAGCCAAAAGCCAAATGGCAACATATATTAAGACCTACAAAGTAGAGGAAATAGTGAACGGTGATTAGGAGAGAAGCCAAAGCCATGTTCGATAACGTCCTGATAGGACCCGGCACATAGGTGAAGAAGAATGAGAGTCAATAAATGAATGCTGGAACGGTGATTAGGAGAGATAGCCAAATGGCAACATATATTAAGAGCTACAAAGTAGAGGAAATAGTGAAGAGCCATGTTCGATAACGTCCTGATAGGACCCGGCACATAGGTGAAGAAGAATGAGAGTCAATAAATGAATGCTGGAACGGTGATTAGGAGAGATAGCCAAATGGCAACATATATTAAGAGCTACAAAGTAGAGGAAATAGTGAAGAGCCATGTTCGATAACGTCCTGATAGGACCCGGCACACATGAAGAAGGTCAATAAATGAAGAAAGAATGAAGAAGAATGAAGTCAATAAATGAATGCTGGAACGGTGATTAGGAGATAGCCAAATGGCAACATATATTAAGAGCTACAAAGTAGAGGAAATAGTGAAGAGCCATGTTCGATAACGTCCTGATAGGACCCGGCACATAGGTGAAGAAGAATGAGAGTCAATAAATGAATGCTGGAACGGTGATTAGGAGAGATAGCCAAAAGACAAACATATATTAAGAGCTACAAAGTAGAGGAAATAGTGAAGAGCCATGTTCGATAACGTCCTGATAGGACCTGGCACATAGGTGAAGAAGAATGAGAGTCAATAAATGAATGCTGGAACGGTGATTAGGGAGAGATAGCCAAAAGACAACATATATTAAGAGCTACAAAGTAGAGGAAATAGTGAAGAGCCATGTTCGATAACGTCCTGATAGGACCCGGCACATAGGTGAAGAAGAATGAGAGTCAATAAATGAATGCTGGAACGGTGATTAGGAGAGATAGCCAAATGACAACATATATTAAGAGCTACAAAGTAGAGGAAATAGTGAAGAGCCATGTTCGATAACGTCCTGATAGGACCCGGCACATAGGTGAAGAAGAATGAGAGTCAATAAATGAATGCTGGAACGGTGATTAGGGGAGAGATAGCCAAATGGCAACATATATTAAGAGCTACAAAGTAGAGGAAATAGTGAAGAGCCATGTTCGATAACGTCCTGATAGGACCCGGCACATAGGTGAAGAAGAATGAGTCAATAAATGAATGCTGGAACGGTGATTAGGAGAGATAGCCAAATGGCAACATATATTAAGAGCTACAAAGTAGAGGAAATAGTGAAGAGCCATGTTCGATAACGTCCTGGTAGGACCCGGCACATAGGTGAAGAAGAATGTGAGTCAATAAATGAATGCTGGAACGGTGATTAGGAGAGATAGCCAAATGGCAACATATATTAAGAGCTACAAAGTAGAGGAAATAGTGAAGAGCCATGTTCGATAACGTCCTGATAGGACCCGGCACATAGGTGAAGAAGAATGTGAGTCAATAAATGAATGCTGGAACGGTGATTAGGAGAGATAGCCAAAAGACAACATATATTAAGAGCTACAAAGTAGAGGAAATAGTGAAGAGCCATGTTCGATAACGTCCTGATAGGACCCGGCACATAGGTGAAGAAGAATGAGAGTCAATAAATGAATGCTGGAACGGTGATTAGGAGAGATAGCCAAATGGCAACATATATTAAGAGCTACAAAGTAGAGGAAATAGTGAAGAGCCATGTTCGATAACGTCCTGATAGGATAGTGGCACATAAGGTGAAGAAGAATGAGAGTCAATAAATGAATGCTGGAACGGTGATTAGGAGAGATAGCCAAATGGCAACATATATTAAGAGCTACAAAGTAGAGGAAATAGTGAAGAGCCATGTTCGATAACGTCCTGATAGGACCAATAAAATGAATGCTGAACGGTGATAGAGAGATAGCCAAAGCAAATAATAAGAGTCAATAAATGAATGCAATAAATGAATGCTGAACGGTGGAACGGTGATTAGGAGAGATAGCCAAATGAATGCAACGGTGATATATTAAGAGCAACATATAAAGTACAAAGAGGAAATAGTGAAGAGCCATGTTCGATAACGTCCTGATAGGACCCGGCACATAGGTGAAGAAGAATGAGAGTCAATAAATGAATGCTGGAACGGTGATTAGGAGAGATAGCCAAATGGCAACATATATTAAGAGCTACAAAGTAGAGGAAATAGTGAAGAGCCATGTTCGATAACGTCCTGATAGGACCCGGCACATAGGTGAAGAAGAATGAGAGTCAATAAATGAATGGCTGGAACGGTGATTAGAGAGATAGCCAAATGGCAACATATATTAAGAGCTACAAAGTAGAGGAAATAGTGAAGAGCCATGTTCGATAACGTCCTGATAGGACCCAGCACATAGGTGAAGAAGAATGAGAGTCAATAAATGAATGCTGGAACGGTGATTAGGAGAGATAGCCAAAAGACAACATATATTAAGAGCTACAAAGTAGAGGAAATAGTGAAGAGCCATGTTCGATAACGTCCTGATAGGACCCGGCACATAGGTGAAGAAGAATGAGAGTCAATAAATGAATGCTGGAACGGTGATTAGGAGAGATAGCCAAATGGCAACATATATTAAGAGCTACAAAGTAGAGGAAATAGTGAAGAGCCATGTTCGATAACGTCCTGATAGGACCCGGCACATAGGTGAAGAAGAATGAGAGTCAATAAATGAATGCTGGAACGGTGATTAGGAGAGATAGCCAAATGGCAACATATATTAAGAGCTACAAAGTAGAGGAAATAGTGAAGAGCCATGTTCGATAACGTCCTGGTAGGACCCGGCACATAGGTGAAGAAGAATGTGAGTCAATAAATGAATGCTGGAACGGTGATTAGGAGAGATAGCCAAATGGCAACATATATTAAGAGCTACAAAGTAGAGGAAATAGTGAAGAGCCATGTTCGATAACGTCCTGGTAGGACCGGTGCACATAGGAAGAAGAATGAAGAGAGTCAATAAATGAATGGTGGAACGGTGATTAGGAGAGATAGCCAAATGGCAACATATATTAAGAGCTACAAAGTAGAGGAAATAGTGAAGAGCCATGTTCGATAACGTCCTGATAGGACCTGCACATATGAATGTGAAGAAGAATGAAAGTCAATAAATGAATGGTGGAACGGTGATCAATAAATGAATGGTGGAACGGTGAGAGAGCCAAATGGCAACATATATTAAGAGCTACAAAGCAGAGGAAATAGTGAAGAGCCATGTTCGATAACGTCCTGAACCCCACATAGGGGAATGACGTCAATAAATGAATGGTGGAACGGTGATTATGAGAATAAAGTTACAAAGTAGAGAAATAGTGAAGCCATGTTCGATAACGTCCTGAAGGGACACGTCACATGAGAATAAGAAGGAGAGTGAAAGAATTCATTTTAGTTTACACACACACACACAAACACGCACACACACACACACATATATATATGCGTATGTATGTATGTATGTGTGTGTGTGTACGTGCGTGTTTCGTTGCCAGTCAACCAATGCACAATTCTTTGTAACATTCACCTTTTCACTTTTATTCAGTAGATTGTTTTGTTTGTGCAAGTCTATGTATCTCAGTCTGTTCATCTATCTATCTATCTATCTATCTATCTATCTATCTATCTGTCTGTCTGTCTGTTTGTCTATCCGTTGACCTTTGATCGAGGTGAAAGGTCATCGGAAATTCCTGATGAATCATATGTTTACTTCATGCTGGTGAAATTCACATTTCTCGGAATTTCACCAACAACACTAGTTTCATTTTGTCTTTTTTTTCAAAGTCGGTTGATTGAATAATTTGCCAAAATTATTGTAGTTTTTAAGTTTTAGCCGGACACATTTCAATATTTGAATAAATAAATATTAAATTTTTTCAAATAATTGTATTTATTCTTCTTCTTTTAAATTTTCTTTTTCAGAATTTCGATTGCATTAAAATTCAAATGCATTTTAATTTTAAAATATCTACGTAAATGCATTTTAATTTTAAAATATCTACGTAAATACAAATCATACAATGATATTCTTTTCATAAAACGCTGGATTGGGTGGTAATGAGTCTGGATATATATTTATTTGTCTTCATTATTGTAGCTTGTTAGTTGTACCCGGGCGAACACACACAACTGTCCTTTGTATATGTACAGATGGACGGCTGGAAAATATCTATAAATTGTCAATAATGCACTATGATTAAGAGATTTTCCGGGCAAAAACAGGTATCCCAGCTAGTTGTATACGAAAACTAAGTAAAAAATGAAATTTCTATAAACTTTCTATCGTTTACAAAACCGTAAATCTATGGTACTTGATGAGGAAATAGGGCTTAGAAAATTTGATACTCACAGGGCAGATTGAATATCAGAGGGACCGAGGAAAACAATGCATAACTGACCTAGCAAGCTTGAGTTAATGGATGGCAAAACGGGGTTTAGGAGAGATCACAAAAAGACACACTTTTATTATAATAGCTACAAAGGACAGGAAAGTGTGGAGAGGCATAATCGCCATGGTTCTAAAGGGTTACGGCACATGGGAGAAGAAAAATGAGCGTCAATAAATGTACGACAGAACGGGGTTTAGGATACTTTTTATGAAGAGAGCTATAAAAGAGAGGAAATTGTGAAGAGCCATGATCACCAACGTCCTGAACGTCTCTTCCCTGCTTTCCCTACCTCTCTCTCTCTCTCTCTCTCTCTCTCTCTCTCTCTCTCTCTCTTCCATACAACCCTTTCTGTTCTCTTATTGCTCCTCCTCTTCCCTGCTTTCCCTCCCTATCTCGCTAACTTTCTCTATATCAGTCAGTCAATCTGTTTATTTAAAATAAAAGGAAATTATCTCTCTCCTCCCTTATTATTTTATGTAACGCCCTTCAGCCACTTCATGAAAACAACAAATTCTTTTTTTTATTGGATTTTCGCTTCTTTGTTTTTTTCGAATTCATATTGAGAGAAAAACGTTTTCATTATTATCTTATTCTTACCTGCCACGCTATTTCTTTCTCTTTCTTTTTCTCTTTCTCTCTCTCTCACTCCCTCTCTCTATCTCTCTCTCTTATATTGGTCTATCTATCTTTTCATCTATCGGTTTAAAAGATAATGAAAAATTCTCCCCCTCTCACTTTATTCCTCATTCCTCCTCTTCACTAATTCCCCTCCTTTGTTATTTCGTGAAAAATGTGACTGTGAAGGCGGGAAATCTGAGCCCACCCTCTCTCTCTGTTTCTTTTACCCTTTCTTTTCTTTCTTTTCTCGCATTCCTTTCTTCACTCATAAACACTCTCTCCGTTCCCCACTCTCTCAATATTTCATTCACCCCCCACCTCTTTCTTTCCCCTTCATTTATTTGAGACTTTAGAAGAAAACAATTTCTTCCCGGAAATCGATTTGTTTTTCTTGTAAAATCTCGAAATTTCGGGTTATTTTACTTCCGGTTTTATAAATGGACTTTTGTTTTTGTCTTTTTCTGATTTTGAACTTTGACCTTTTTTTTTCTTTTCTTTCTTTTCAGATTTGGTTTTTTTTATCTTCAGAAGAAATTTTCAAAATGGCGTCCAATGTAAGTGAAGAAGAGACATTCCAATGCTCGAAATGCCACCAAAATTTTCGATTTGGCATCGAAGACGTTGCTATGTCTTCATTCTTTCTGTGGGTCGTGCATTAAGATGATTCTTGAAGGAAATGGCCTGTATCCCCAGTGCCAACAACTTGTGACCGATGAAGAGTTGAGATTGGCATCATTTTTGGTGAAGTCTTTGAGGCGCCGTCAGCTGGAATCCAGAGAATGGAGGTGCGATTCGTGCTTCGGGACAGAATCGGCCAGCCAGATTTGGTGGCAGGACTGTAAAAACATCTTGTGTCAGACCTGCGAGAGATTCCATCAGAAATCCCAACCCGGACACAAGACCAAAGGCTTGTCGGGCGTGTCGAGGGTGGAGGCTATCCGGGTCATCAGGACAGACGAATTTCAACGGCACCGCCAATCGAAGGACGCATTCTGCGAGTGGTGCAACTTGTGCCTGTGCAAAGCATGTTACACTGATCACGTGACCACCTCCCATCCATGTCCGCCTCGTCCGCTGTCGGTGAGGGAGGAGGCGTTGAAAGAGAGAAAACGCGGCCCCAACCTGAAACGGGAACTGGGCGAGTTCGAAATCCAAATCAGGAAGACGTACGCGCAGACAAGCCGAGACAAGTACCTTGGGATAAGAGAAATTTGTGATGGTAGATCAGGCAAAAATATAGAGGTACCAAAACCTTGCAGGGCAAATCTTGAAACATCACATAAGCTGAGGAAATCGTTATGTCTCTAAGCTGCCAAGAGCAGCTGAGATATGACAATGTTCCCCTCTCCCAACTAGAATAATAAATAAGAAATAAATAATAAATAGCTGTTTATCATATGGAACAGTAACGTCAATAACTTAACATTTTATCTTCTCCTTATCTATAACAATAAGATCGGGTCTTTGTGCTTCTAAAACAGATCATGTCATTGAAGCTATTGTTATAGATAAGAAGAATAGCAAGGGTCAAAGGGTCAAATCAATGACTTTGCTGTTTCACTTGATACAAGAGTGGACTACAAAGATTTTGTAAAAATAAAAAATACCCGGATCTTGATAGGGAACTGAAGAATCTATGGAAGATGAATGTAGGACTAATTGCTTTAGTAATGGCTACGCTTGGAACATCATCTAGAAAATTGTCAAATTGCTTACAAAGAATTGGAATTGAGACGAAGATTGTAGTCCTCCAGAAAACTGCAATCATTTACTCTACAGGGATTCTTTGAAAAGTTCTTGAGTTGTAAGGAGCTTCATTGGCATGATGCCTGAAGGACAGACTATGACAACGTGTGACACCAACAGAATATTAAATAAAATAGATTGTATATTATTTACATTATTCGGACAATTGTCCACATCTTTCTCGCCATATTTATTACAACGTTTCGGCCGTTGTACGCTCCGGCCTTCTTCAGGAGGTTGGAATGTCGAACTAAACCCTTCATTTCGCTTACTCGGGTAGATTGTTCTAGTTCCAAATTTGCCATTATCCACTGCCATTACACAAACTTGTCTTGAGGACACATGGCATAGTGGATAAAGGCGTTAGTTAGACCCAAAGTGTGTAAGTTCAATACCCGGCTAAGGCAGTGGAGAACTTGGAGAGGGAAATTAACAAGAGATAACTGATAACTGATATCCATTAAACATGACACGTGGAACTAGAACAGTCTACCCCAGTGACATTGAAAACAGAATAAAATATTAACAAATAAAATTACACAAAAATTTCCTTTTGTGAACCTTAAATGTTCACTTTAACGTAAAAAACTTTTTCTGAAAAAGAAATACAATTTTTTAGGCTCAAAAAAAAATTAAAAACAATTCAGTTTCCTTCAAAAAAAAAAGTGGCACTTATTTAATATTCAAAACCAGGAAAGGTTGGCAAATTCACTTGTGTCATTGGGTCTTAAACAAATTTCCCTTTTCAAAAATGGAACCAAAATATCGAAATAAATTTTGTTATTGTTCTTAACAGTTCAAAATTAGATTAGATACCCCAAATTTATGAACATTTTCTGTCTTTCACTGTTGGCTTATTTTTCTTTCTTCTTTTCTTTCCTCTTTTCATCGTCGACGAGTTAAAAACAGCCCCAGTCATCCAATGTAGAAAATCAAATTCCTTTTAGGGTGCGAAAGAAAAGAGAAAATTTTAAAATTAAATCAAATTTTTCTTATTGCAAGAATTTTTATCTGTTTTCTAAACTTCGAAAAAAAATTAAAACAGCTAAACTGGAATTTTCTAAAGCCTTCTTAAGAATTTGTTTGTTTATATTTCACATTTAGATTAAGATTAAACGGAGAATATTTAAATTATTTCCTCTTTTATTAAAAATCATTTTTATCAACCAAAAAATGTTTGTTGAACTTTACTTTATTCCTTTTACGCTGTTATTAAAAGGGAAATAACTCTGCATTATCAGTTTATATAAATTCAGGGTTATTTCCCGCTGCAAATGTCTTTGGTAAAAATAAAATTATTGGTTTCTTTTTCAGACAAGATTTTCATTTCATATAAAAATTTAAAAAATCAGAAATTAACGCATGTCATTTCTAAAGAAGAAAATCGTAAGAAAGAACTCAAAAAATATATTTATTATTCAAATGAAAAATTAATTTAATTAATGAAAAATGTGACCAACTGCTATTTTGAAATGGGTTCACGTAAGCATCAAAGTAACATTGGGAAAGTATTTTGGAATAAAAGATAAGACAATGAATAAAGTAAAATGATTAAACGTAAAAAAAATACAAGTAGGTGATTTGAAAGTAAATTAGAATAATAGCAATACAAAAGTTTACTTTAGAAATATTTGGATATATATATATATATATATATATATATATATATATATATATATATATATATATATATATATATATATATATATATATATATATATATATTAGATCAAAATTCAGCTATAAATAAAAATCTCTCTGTAAAAAGACAATATGGACGCTTTCTGAATGTAGACGAAAATTGTTCTTTATGAAACGAGTAAAAAGAATGTCATCCAATGTTCATAGTTGTAAAGGTGGGAGACAACAATTGCCAATGTATTATCTGGTTTAACTGCCATTAAAATGAGGGCAATGTCTAAACTTTTCATATCACTGACAAAAGAGCTTATCTCGCCTGCATTACACCTTCTACTTTATGTAACCAGTGATAAAATATGTCATCCAATGTCCATGGGTGTCAAGGTTCGGTGACAGCATTTGAAATGAGGACAATGTCTAAGCTTTTTTTATCAACGACAAAGAACCTTATCTCGCCTGCATGGCTTTTTCTTCTCCAATGTCAGCACAAACGGGATATTTCTGACGGAGAAATTAAGTTGATGTTGGCATGCATTAGAAAACACTGGCTTATCTTGTCAATGTTGGAGATCTATCTATCTATCTATCTCAGATCTTTTCATATCTATCTATCTATCTCAGATCTTTTTATTTATATCTATCTATCTATCTATCTATCTATCTATCTATCTATCTATCTCAGATCTTTTCATATCTATCTATCCATCTATCTCAGATCTTTTCATATCTATCTATCTATCTATTTATCTATCTCAGATCTTTTCATATCTATCTATCCATCTATCTATCTCAGATCTTTTTATTTCTATCTATCTATCTATCTATCTATCTATCTATCTATCTATCTATCTATCTATCTCAGATCTTTTCATATCTATCTATCCATCTATCTATCTCAGATCTTTTCATATCTATCTATCTATCTATCTATCTATCTATCTATCTATCTATCTATCTATCACAAATCTTTTCATATCTATCCATCTATCTCAGATCTATCTATCTATCTATCTATCTATCTATCTATCTATTTCAGATCTTTTCATATCTATCTATCTATCTATTTATCTATCTCAGATCTTTTCATATCTATCTATCCATCTATCTATCTCAGATCTTTTTTATTTCTATCTATCTATCTATCTATCTATCTATCTATCTATCTATCTATCTATCTATCTCAGATCTTTTTTCATATCTATCTATCCATCTATCTATCTCAGATCTTTTCATATCTATCTATCTATCTATCTATCTATCTATCTATCTATCTATCTATCTATCTATCTCAGATCTTTTCATATCTATCTATCCATCTATCTATCTCAGATCTTTTCATATCTATCTATCTCATATTCGCGAAAATCAAATTTTCCGGAATTTCATCAACGAGACTAGTCTCATTTTGTCTTTGTTTCAAAGTCAAAAAATTCAAAAGACTTTTTAGAATTTTTGCGATTCAATCAAAATTATGCCGACGTCATTAAATCAAATTAATATAGATATTTTTGTTTTCTTCTAATTACATGAGAAAAAAATTATTTTTCGTTTTTATTACAGAATGTTAAAGTCACTGTGCATTAAATTGGAAAATTATTTTAATTTTATCATTTTTAATTGTTAATTACTTGTTAATCCTTATAAAAATAACCGAAAATAGACGTTAAAATTATATTTGTATACGTCTATAAAAATAATTAGTTAGTATTATCAAATAATTCAAAATAATAATTAATTATAAAGTGTCAAAATGTAAGAAATGATTTACACTTTAAAATAACCATTTTTATTTCTGCAATTAAAAAATGTTTATATTTAGCACAAAAAATTAGTTTAATTTTTATTTTGCATTATTTTAATAAAGTTATTTTATTTTAGTGTTTTTATTTTATACTACTAATATTTTTTTTATTTTATTCTACTTTTTTATTTCATACTAATAAGAAATAATTAAAAAAAAACGTTCGACATTTTTTGTTTTACTTTCCTGAATTCAATCTTTCATTTTCCTCGAAGTGGATTCATTTTATTTCAGTTTGGTCATTCATTTCAAATGTACATCTGACATTAAAGAAATTTTGACGAGAAAAACTATACATTTTTTGCTTATTCTTCATCTTATCATTTTATTGAATTTCGATCCATATTTGATGTCCATTTGACCCCAAACTCACAATTTTACTCAGTATTATTGTCTTTCATGTCTCCAACTCCACATAACAAGCAAATAATAAATAATACTAGTTTTCTTCTTTCCATATCTTGATCTCCATTTTACGAGTATTTTTGTGTATATAAATGTTAGGGGTTTTATAATTATTTACTTACAGATATAACTCCCCTACACGAGTTTCAAATTTCTTTGCTTAATCAATTGAAAAATTGACCTAAATATTTATTTCTCATTATTTCACCTACAAAAACGAGTTTCACTTTTTCTGTTCTGCAATTATGAAATTACTATTAAAAATTTTTAGCTTTCAATTTGAAATATAAATTAATGGCGGTATTGACGGTCTAAATCAACCCGGACATTTTTTTTTTTTTTTTTTACAAATGTGTAAAGCAAATGCAAAAGCATTACAAGAAGAAGGAACACAAAACGCTTTTATAACAACAACGAGATTTCTATTTTCTATTTTTATAATGATGTACAAGTAAAGGAGTTACTTCCCTTTGTCTGGATTTAAAGTATTTACTAATGAAATATTTTTTATCTCAGCTCATAAAAGGTTGAATGAACTTGCGCTCAAAATGTTCACTGTTAGAAAGTTGAAAAAATTATAAAGCTGAGAATATGTTGAGTAAACTTTTAGCTTCAGAAAAGTTGATGGAGTGAATGTTCCGTAATATTTGGAATTAAGTTTTCTTTGCTTGTCATTAAATTTGAATTGTTCATAATGGAGTTTGAAAAGATTCCTATGTTTGTAACGTTGCTTGGAAAGTTTCGTACGTTCGTGTATGTGTGTATGTGTATGTTTTCATAGCGTCCGTCCGCAAAGGGTCGAAACGTGATCTGTTTTTTACAGCAACATTTTTGTAGCGAGAGAAATCAAGGAAAACGAAAGAACGAATTCGTGTCTGGTATTTATAAATCAACTTAATCACGTGACAATCTCGAAAGGCATTGATAGATTTTGGGTGGAATTATTTTTTAGTCAGGTCAAGAACTAGGTCGATGTTACTCGGACATGATTTAAATATTAAATGACCAATCAGAAGTCGAGGTTTTCTGAAAATATGTCTGAAGCTGGATAAGGTCTGTGATCCGCTTTTTGCACAGAAATCGACATTGATTAAAAAAAAAATGATGGTGGATTTCTAAAAGTTAATGTTACCCCGGATTTTAATTCCGATTAAATGCACTGAACTGTATTTTTTAAAATTTCTATACTCTTGAATTTATTTTCACATCTATAGTAAATAAAAGCGTAACTTTAAAAAAAAAAATAGTAATAATAATAATTTGAAAAAAGGTTAATGAACTTTTATGTAAAAACGACATTAACAGAATATTTATATTAGTATTTATATAAAAAATAAATTGACTTTTTTTGAATAAAAATATGGGGATGCTCAGAAGGGCGTGGCATTGGTAGTTTGGCATTTTCCTAAATTTAGTCATTTTGTAACAAACAAAAAACAAAAAAAGTAATAAAAAAAAACAATGAAGGTTATTTTATAAAGATTGAATAAAAATTTATTTTCCATAAAATGGCTGAAAAATATCAATAAATAGTCGATAAACTATTATTCAGAGATCTCCCGAGCAACGCCGGGTATCCCCGCTAGTTATTATTTAAAAGAAAAAAACGTAAATAAACTTTAAATTAAGATAAATTTAAACATATTTAATTTAATAATTTTTTCAAACAAAAAGCAAGAGAGTAGAAATTTTAAAATGTTCATATCTATCTATCTATCTATCTATCTATCTATCTATCTATCTATCTATCTATCTGTCTGTCTATCTATCTATCTATCTATCTATCTATCTATCTGTTTGTCTAACTGTTGACCTTTGTTCGAGGTGAGAAGTTATCGGAAATTCCTGATGAATCATAATTTGTTTACTACTTCGTGTTGGTGACATTAATTAATTTTTTTTTAAACACCAGAGTTCAGAAGTTTCTTCATTAATAGAAATATTTTGGAGTTTCCCTTTAATTCCATTAGTCAAAAAAGATGGGTTTATTTGTCGTATTTATTACCGAATCTTAAAGTCATCTTTTATTAAACGCGAAAAGAATTTCAATTTTAGCATTTTTAACATTAATAACTTGTTAATAAGAAATAGATGTGAGAATTACATTTCTGTCCGTTTATAAAAAAATATCAGTCTTAAAATAATTAAAAGTAATAATTAATTAAAAAGTGTCAAAAAATGATTTTTACATTTTACAATAATCATTATTTGTGCAAATAAAAGTCCTTTATTTTATATTTTGCACAAAAAATTAGCTTAATCAATTGTTTTATACGAGTACTGACTAATAAAAATATTTGGTACTAGGTTTTTTTATTTTATACTACTAATATTTTTTTTCACTTGATACTACTTTTTTATTTTATAATAAGTTTTTTTTTTTTATTAACTATTTTTTTAGATTTACAAACAAGAAATAAAATAAATATGAATTCGATTTCAAAAATAAAACTGCCATGAAAATAATTCCGGATCTTTATGAAACTTCGACATTTTCGCCCCTCTCTCATCGTTATACGTTCGCTCTCTTGTTTCTCTCTTTCCCCCTCTTTCTCTCATCTATAACGCGTAAAGAAAGTCACGTGTCTAGTGGCGTGATTAATCTCGTCCAATTAAATGCCTTGTATTCCGATGACGTCATCCATACGGCCGACGCCCTTTGCAGTTTGCTTTCAGAAAATTCAACAGACAAGACGTGTTTTGTTTTCGTCTCGCTTCTTTTCATCCCAAAAGTGAAAATCAAAATCAAATGTAAGTAAGAATTTTCTTATCGTTTCTCCAAATCATTCAACCTTCTTCTTAAATGTTTCCATCAACACAACAAAACCTTTTTCTTCCTTTCTTTTTAATCATTTCAACCCAATGAAGGCAAGAAAGCCACTACGACGCAAAGGGGGTTTCTAAGTTTGAAAAAAGAAAAAAATATTTGACTCTTTTCATTTCTATTTACTGGTCTCGATGCAAGGTGAGGACAGAAGAATTTGAAATCATAATTAGGTGTCATCTCTTTATTAAATCCATCTATTTCTTTTCTCTCTCTTTCTCTATCTCGAGAAAGAGAGAGAGAGAGTGAGAGATAGATAGAGAGAGACACAATTGAATTTACAATTGGAAACCTTTTTCTTTTTTAATAGAAAAATGTTCGTCTGACTCTTTCTCTTTGTTTTCTTCAACTTGTTGATTTGTTATTGAATAAAGCAGACGATAAGTTATTTTGCCCCCCGATTTCCTATCTGCTTCCTTCATGTTTTTTGTAAGATTAAAAAGGAAGACGAAGCACCATTTAAGTAAAGTGGTCCGCTTGTTAAAGAGCAAAAACAAAAAAAAACAAAAAAAAAAAAACGAGTACTTGTAAATACTTCCGAAAACTATCTATCTATCTATCTATCTATCTATCTATCTATCTATCTATCTATCTATCTTCATCCTTTACATGTGTATGTATGTATGTATCCATCTAGCTTGCTGGCTAGTTATCTATCTATCTATCTATCTATCTATCTATCTATCTATCTATCTATCTTCATCCTTTACATGTGTATGTATGTATGTATCCATCTAGCTTGCTGGCTAGTTATCTATCTATCTATCTATCTATCTATCTATCTATCTATCTTCATCCTTTACATGTGTATGTATGTATGTATCCATCTAGCTTGCTGGCTAGTTATCTATCTATCTATCTATCTATCTATCTATCTATCTATCTATCTATCTATCTATCTATCTATCTATCTTCATCCTTTACATGTGTATGTATGTATGTATCCATCTAGCTTGCTGGCTAGTTATCTATCTATCTATCTATCTATCTATCTATCTATCTATCTATCTATCTTTGCAGCATGTTTTAAATTTAGGTTGAAAATCATTTCTTTTTTTTTTTTTTAGTTCAGCGATTTGGTAATATTTTTAGCATTAGTTGTTTTTTTAACTGTTTTTCAGTTGAAAAACACATTGATTTGGAAAATCTTGCAAAAATCAAGTAATTGTCGGATTTTAATGAAACCTTCAGAACTTATTCACAAATGAATAAAATTATTTTCGAAATATCGGTCTTTTCGAAAGTCATGGTATAAATATTTTTTTTATATCTGTTACCCCCCGCCCAACTTAATTTTTGTGAAAACTTCAAACATTTTATTTGCACCTTTCATTTTTTTTTTTTTTTTAATTAAATGCACAAAATTTATTTGGTAAAAATGCGCAAAGTTGTCCAAACTTTTACCTCAATTGTAAACATACAAAACCAACTAAAACTAAGAAAATATTTAATTAAAAAATGATTTTAATGGCTTTTCTGAATAACATAAGGTAATTTTTATCTGAAGGAAAAAAAAAAAATTTTGATGAAAAATAAATTTTTACAATATTTTTTTTCATTTTTAAATGTTTCTTTTTGAAACTTAATGGAATTGACATATTATGTTCTCTACTTTTTAAATATCATAAATTTGAAAACTTATTAAAATCTGAAAACCGTGCCTATTTTTAAAATAATTTTATTAATATTCCAAAAACATCTCCGACAAAAGTATGGATGCACAGCTTTGAGATAATGTAATAATGTCACGTAGGGATGAGTTGTTTCCCTTGATAGAAGCCATTTGCTTTACATTCGTTCAGTTAACACAACAAAGCTTGTCAAGGTTTTTGACTGAATATCGTCACATTTTCAAAATTTTTCTGTTCAATGAACAATTTTTCCTTTTTTTTATTATTTTATATTCAATTTTAGGCACGAAAGCAACGCAATGGGTTTGATTCTCAGAAAAATATTTCATCATATAACTGACACAGATTTTTTAAAATGCTTCTTTTTATTTTTGTCATATGAAAGAAATGTGCCGGAAAAAAAAAAACAAAAAAAAAACAATGTTATCTGCTAAGTGTTGTTGTCATCACCCCAGGTCTTAAAAAAAACAAACAAAAAAAAAAACACATCAAGCCATTTTTCAAACGTCAGTTTGAAAAAAAGAAAATTTATTGTTGACCCCCCTTTTTTTCCCCCACTCTTTGTTCTTATCTGGAAATGGTCGGTTTTTACAAGCTGGTGACAAATGTTTATTGCTACCTGACTGGCCTTTGACCCAAATATATTAAAGTCAATTTGGCTTTTCCTTATCGCTGCCAATATTTTGAGAAAAAAAATGACACACTCCTGGTTTCCGGTGGTTAGGAATTGCAGACAAAACTTTCGCCTTTTACTAAAGATTTCCGTGGCCGGGTGTGAATTTTTTTTAACCCCTCGTGGCCATATAATTGAAAATTACCAATGGACTTTGTTTCATTTCGACCCCCTATTAAAGTTGTTTCCTTCAAACTCAGTTTTAATGCCTGATATATAGTTTGATTATGATTTAGGTTTTCTGATTTTCCAAAAATAAGAATGGATAATTTCCAACTCCCTCAAACGTAAGGTAAAAAAAAAAAATTCAAAATGTATTTTATACACTAACCAGGTTCACTTAAAACTAGAACGAAATATAACACTTCTGCCCTACCGTCCGATAAATTCCCCTGCCGTAAGTTGTCGATATATTGACGCACATCAATTATCACCTCAAACACGCGCAAACAAAAGCAAGTACCACGTTTGGAAAGGTCTCTCTTAAAAAAAATTTCTGATGAAAAAACTAAGTAATGTTTCATTCGCATTACATTATAGTACTTATATTTTCTAATTCTCCTAAGATAACAAAAGAAAAAGGTGTAAATGAATGTTACAGGATTTTTAAACTAACTTTGATTTTGTAACTGTTTACAAAGTCAGACAAAAAGCGCCGATAAGGCCGAATTTACGAAATTTTTTTGAATCAAGAAAAAACAAGATTTTTAATAAAATTTTTAAAATTATAGGAATGATCAAAAAATATTCAAAAAATACTTTGGTCTTTCATCTTAATAATAACATAAACATTTAGACGTTATTAACATTTTTTATCAAGTTAGGAGCTTTTTTCCTTCATGCTATGCTTATTTTATGCGAAAAAGTGGAGGTACATCTATCTATCTATCTATCTATCTATCTATCTATCTATCTATCTATCTATAGCCCGCTTGATAAAAAGAAAAAGAAAAAACGGATATTTATCTTTTCCTTAATATCGGGTAGTTCTTTCATTAATGAAAATCTTGGTTTGTCTATCTCTCCGTCAGTCGATCTGTCTGTTTATTTAAAAGAAAAAAAATCTGTCGGTCTGTCTATCTATCTATCTCAGTCTATCTATCTATCTAGCTAGCTAGCTAGCGGTCAATCTGTCGGTCTGTTTGTTAAATTATTAAAAGAAAAGAAAGCAATCTCCCCTTCTCTCTCTTTCATAAAACCCTTCTCTCTTATTGCTCCCTCCTCCCTTTCACTAGTTTGCCTCCCTATTTCTCTTTCTCTATCTGTCTATCGATCGGTCTATCTGTTTATTAAAAAGAAAAGGAAAAATCTCTCTCTCTCTCTCTCTCTCTCTCTCTCTCTCTCTCTCTCTCTCTCTCTCTCATACAACGCTTTCTTCTCTCTGTGATTCCTCATTCCTGCCCTTCATTTACTCCTTCTCCTACTTTTCCTCCCTTATCTCAAAAAAAACCCTCTCTCTCTGTTTCCCTTTCTTTCTTCCCCTTTCTCGCATTGCTCTTCTCTCCGTTCCCTACTCTCTCAATATTTCATTGACACACCACTTCCCCTCCTCTTATTTTATTTGTGATTTTAGAAGAAAACAATTTTCTTTCCGGAAATCGATTTGTTTTTCTTGTAAAATCTCGAAATTTCGGCTTTTTTTTTCGTCTTTTTCTGATTTTGAACTTTGACCTTTTTTTTCTTTTCTTTCTTTTCAGATTTGATTATTTTATCTTCAGAAGAAATTTTCCAAATGGCGTCCAATGTGAATGAAAAAGAGACATTCCAATGCTCGAAATGCGTCGAAGTTTTGGATTTGGCATCGAAGACGTTGCCATGTCTTCATTCCTTCTGTGGGTCGTGCGTAGAGATGATTCTTCAAGGAAATGGCCTGTGTCCCCAGTGCCAACAACCTGCAACCGATGACGAGTTGAGACTGGCACCGTTTTTGGTGAAGTCTTTGAGGCGCCGTCAGCTGGAATCCAGAGAATGGAATTGCGATTGGTGCCTGGAGGACGGCGCAGAATCGACCGGCCAGATTTGGTGCCAGGAATGCAAGAAACTTTTGTGCCAGACTTGCGAGAAATTCCACAAGAGATTCCAACCCGGACACGAGACCAAAGACTTGTCGAGCCTGTCGAGGGTGGAGGCCATTCGGGTCATCACGATGGAGGACTGTCGACGCCACCGCCAATCGAAATACGCACTTTGCGAACGGTGCAACGTGTGCATGTGTGACGCGTGTTACGAGGATCACGTGACCACTTCCCCGCAGTGTCCGCCTCGTCCGCTGTCGGTGAGGGAGGAGGCATCGAAAGGTAAGGAAGAGGTCGGCCCCACACTTGAGCAGCGACTCCGCCAGTTCGAAATCCACATCCGGGCGACGAACGAGTGGACAAGGCGATCCATTGACCAACTGTCAACGGATTGCGATTCCGAATGCTCAAAACTTTGGCAGGATTTTGAGACATTCGTTGAAGAGGCACGGATCAAGTTGACAGAGCTGTGCGACAATATGAGAGCGGCGTCGTCTGAACTCGAGAGAAAATGGCGCCTCACCCTCAAAGAGAGAGAAGACCTTTTGGGGAAGGTGAAGATCTGGCGCGACACCTTGGGACAACTGTTGACGGACGACGCCGACGATGAGGATGTCGTTTGTGGATTGCAGTTGTTGGGAGCGGAGCTTTCTGTGTGGCTCCGCCAATCGTTTGCTCCACCCGAGAAACTCCGTTGGGTCGTGACCTTTCCCAAATGGTGTCACGATTCCCTAGAGTCACTGAAGAAAGAAATAATCGATTGGACGCCAGAGACATCCGGGCATTTGCAGCTTGAAAGTGAATGCCGTCTCCAAGGATTGAACCTGCGATGGTTTTCATCGATTGTCGCCAGCGACGAAGACAATCATGTCTTTGTTGGTGATTGGGACGGCGAATCGATCCTAGAATTCGATGACTCTGGGGTAATGGTCAGCCAATGCCACTTAACGGACGGAGGAGAGAGATTCTGCCCCCGGGATATGTGTCGCCTCCCCGAAGACATTTTGGTTGTTTGTTGTCCTTGGGGGTCGAGGGAGCCGTTGGAGGGAAGACTTTACTTTTTGGCGCGTCAAAAATCTGCGCCATTTTTAAAAATGCAAAAAATAATTGACACAAAAGAAAAGAAATTTTTTTCTTTGTGTCAAATTGACAAAAAAATTTTTGCTAGTGATTTGGATTTGAAAGAAATTATTTGTTTTAATGAAAATGGAGAACAAATAAAAACAATTCTCCCTCGAGGGTTACCGGGGGCGGGTGTTTACCCCCGCCTTCGCGCCGATCCGACGACTGGGAATTTGTTTGGGGCAAGACGTGGAATGTCGGAAATCTTTGTCTGGGATCAAAATGGAGAAATTCTTCAAAGGTTGGGAGTGAAAGAAAGAATTTCCGATTTTTGTGTAAATAAATTTGGATTCTTTTATTTTTCGACCCAACAAGGAATTTCTTCTTTTTTGCCAGAAAAAGTTTTGTGCAAATTTCCGAAAAAATCTGAAATTTATCCGATGGTTTTTGTTTCCCGCCAAAAAGTGTTTGTTTCTTGTAAAAACAATGGAAAAATTTTATTGAAAATTTTGAAAATTTATTAAAAAAAGATTTTTAATTTTGATGTTTATTTTTTTTTGTTTGTTTGAAAATAAAATTTATTTTATTTTTATTTATTTTTTTTATTTTGATTATTTAACAATATGAGTTGAGGTAAATAAATCGAGGAAAATATTCAGTTTCGTAATATGAGTCGAGGCCAATAATGTTGTGTGACACATTAATAATTTTGTCATGGATTGACTTTTTCAAGTTATGCAAATTTATGCAAATAAAATTGATTTGCACTGATTTTTCTATAAAAATATACAGTTTTTCAAAGGATCTCAATATGAGATCAGTCAAAAAAATAAAAAGGTTTCTTTTTTCTTTTTCCCTGTTTTTAATTTTTTTTTTTTTCTCTTTTTCTTTTTTTAATTTTTTTGTTTTTTGTTTTTCTTTCTCTTTCTTTCTTCCTTCGGAGGGGGTTGTTAATTTTGTGAAAATTGTCTCATTTATTTGAAACCAATTCCAGAATGACATTGGCAAGAAACTGGAGACCATAAAAACAGAGAGGACCGGCGACGGGCTGGGAGGGGGGTGATTGTAGAGAATTTGTTAAAAACGAGAAGGTGTCGGTTGTTTTGGGTTTGTTTTTTTAAGACGGAAATTGCAAGTAGATTTTAGTTTTTATGGTCACTTCATAGATATTGCAGAAAGAGAAGGAGTCCATGGAGAACCGCAACCGCCTACTCACGGGTTCTGAATAAAAGGGCAGGTTGGAATTAAAAGGTGTGAGCCGACCGTTCCGGAAGTTGGGGTGAAAGGCAAAAGCGACAGAGAAGAAAGGAATATGAACTCGTAACATCATCATCGTCATCACTGATAAAATACTTCCCTCCCCTGCAAAAAAAAAAAAAAAATGTTTAAAACTTTCATTAGAATAATTTATAAAGTTTTAAATCTTTTCATATTCTGGATTAATTTGAGTTTGATGATATTATGAAGTATAAATTCTATTTCCATATCATAAATGGAAAAGTTTTCTATATTCTGGGACCCGTGGTTTTATATATATTAGGTTGGTGCAAAAATAATGACGTAATATTGTCGTTTTCTGACGTTAAAAATAAGTCAAAAAACGATATTATTACGTCATTATTTTTGCATTCAACCTAATATATATATATATATATATATATATATATATATATATATATATATATATATATATATATATAGATGACCCCTTTCTAAAATTTAACTTTTGATAAATCTCATTTTTCCACTTCCGATCGCCCTATTTTAATGAATCGTTTCATAAACCACATGTTTTTTTTTATTAAAATTAGGCCCTCTCTCTTTACCCGTAAGAATATAAGGGTTTGGCATGAAATAGTATTAATACCATTTTTATAGCTTCCCGTATGCTGCGTGGGCGGCCTAGATTCTGTTATCGACGTCTTTTTCAGCGGATGCATTTGATGTTAATACGCTACCAACCTATAGAAATTGGTTCAGTTCGTTGATGGTTTTTGATTCCAAGTGATGGTTGATATCCCGATTATGGTTGGATAAGAATCTTGGTCTTTGCTATGTCGATGGTGAATCCGTAGAGCATGTACGCTCTGAAGAAGATGTACGCAGTGTTCGGGAAGTCTTCGAGTTCATGGGTTACGATGCAGCTGTCTTTGGTGACTCATGTATTTATGGTTTGAGTTCTAACCCTGAGGCGAGCTATGTGATTGAGAAGGAACAGAACACAACAAAATGGAAACATTTGAAAAATGGAAAAATCTTAATGGAGATTTTAAAAAAAGATATGCAGATATTTTAATGAAAATGATCCTAAAGTAAATAAATAAATAAAAATAAAAAAACTCTCACTCCAAAAAAAAAAAAAAAAAAAAAAAAAAAAAGCCACATACATCGAGGAGGTCATCCAACATGCCCCTCCCCGTTATTTGAAACCAACTCCAGAATGACATTGGCAAGAAACTGGAGACCATAAAAACAGAGAGGACCGGCGACGGGCTGGGAGGGTGGTGATTGAAGAGAATTTGTAAAAAACGAGAAGGTGTCGGTTGTTTTTGTTTTTTTTTTTTTTTTCATAGAAGGAGATAAAGACCAAATTGAAAAATGAAAAAAAAATGATTGATGTTAGAAGAGGGTCAATTAAAAAGAATATGCCTGAGAATGGATATTTTGTGTCTAATAAGATTTATGGAATATTCAGGTCGGTAGACGAAAATAAATAAATACGCTCTTTAATAAATAAATGGAGCGTTTACTCAAATATGAGTATCTACTAAAAATAATGTCTAAGTAATAAAATCTGTCGAATTAATAAATAAAAAAATCCATCCCTTTCTTTAGAAATTGCTTTGTTTTCGTCAGGATAAGAAACTATTTTGAGATCTTTCTTTAAAGGCATTATTCAACTTTGCTTGACCATCGACGTACTCCATGGCCGAGAGGTCCAAAGCATGTCAGATGATGATTTCCTTTAGGGGAACGCAGGTTCGAATCTTACCGGAGAGCAGATCAAGATTTCTCGAATATTCAAGCCAGTAAATGAAAAATAAAAAAATATATATACTGTTTAATAAATAAACGGAAGTCTACACAAATACGAGTATCCACTAAAAATAACATCTAAGTAATAAAATCCAAATGATAGCCACAATTCCTTATATAATGACGTTTGGCAATAGATAGGGTAGAGGAATTGTTTCAAACCCTCCTGTGTGTTACAAGTGTCAATAATATGGGAACGATGTGGAGAAATGTCAAGGAGAAAAAAGTATATGTGGAAAATGCAGAGAGAAAGAACCTGACCCCCTCCAGAGATGAATGCCCAAAGTTATACAGATGTACAAACTGTAATGGAGATCACTCAGTATATACAAGAAACTGTGAAAAATGAAACTGAAATTCTATGTGTAAAATATACAAGAAACATTCCTTTTCCTTTAAGCATAAGCGATGGTGGAAGCTATAAACAAAGGAAAATCATGTTTAAACAGAATCCTCTACAAGAAATATACAAGAAAAACACAAAACCCTCGTCCAATGATTGCTACAACTGGGACCCGAGGATGGAGTGATTTTTTTTAAAGAAATACAACGAGAACAGGAAAAGCACAAACGTAAATTAATAAAACCAAATACAGAAGCAAGAAAGAGAAAAATACAACAGACTTTGTAGCCGTTCCCACGATAAACTACAAATTCAATCATCCAAACCTAACAATAAAAGAACAGCAGACAAGACAAAATCAGTAACAGTTCGTAATTCGTTCACAAGAAAAGTAGTTTTGTCTTGAGTCCAACTAGACAAAGAAGAGCCAAGAAAGAAATCTGCTAAAAATGACGAACCTGAATGAAAAGAACAAATGACCAAATGCAAAAATAAAGTTAAACTTTTGCCAAAAACAGATTCAAAGGATGAAGACATGAAGTTTGTGGATCAAAACTCTGAAATTATTAAAACTATCATAAAAAATCACTTGGAAACAAAAACTGAAATTATGGCAAATAAGATAATCCAAGGGAATACTTGAAGCATGAAGGATAGGGATTATCCAAACGTAACTTTGGTGTGGTACAAGGCCGAAAGTAAGAGGTACCTCGTGAGGATTGAACTCACTACTCAGTCGTAAATTGCTCGAGCGAGACAAGCTTGTTAACCATTACACCACCTTGAGGTAACCAATTAGTAATTTTCTAAGCCTAGCTAAGATAGGGCCCAATGCCGAACGTATAGGGCACCCAGTGAGGATCGAACTCACTATTCAGTAGTAATTAATTTGGCGATACAAGCTTGCTAACCATTACAAAGCCTCGAGGTGCCCAGTGGCGTGAAGGATAATTTCAATGAACTTCTTCTTATCATGAATGTTTCTCCATGAATGACCTGCTTGCAAAAGACCTTCGTCAAAGCAAAAACTCTGTAATAATAAATAAGATACGACAGGTTTTTTTTTTTAAGATAAACTTACAGGCAATTTCTGTATCAGCAACCCTACACAAAACCATAAACCTCTGTTCTATAGACATACCATTAAATAATCAAATAACTTTAAGAGAACTTGATAATTGAATTCAACAAATTGAAAAACGAGTTACTGGGAGCTTTTAATAAACACGGTGCGATATGGAAAACTGGGGAAACGAACAGAAAAGGTAAAATTATAGAATCCCTGATAAAGAGAAGAAACCTATGAGTTTAGAATAATAAAAGCCAAAGACACATTCCCCTAGAAAAGAGCGATGGTCAGAATCTGCAGAGGACATGTTACCTCCTCCTCACGTCAATGATAAGTCGCCATAATTATTGAACTATTGTCTCCTTATCCAATAAATGAAAGGAACAGATTTTTTTTAAAGTAACAATTACATTTCGCTTGGACCGTTCAGATATTAATTGGATGAATTCTGATGAACCAATTGTGTTGGGAATTCTGCTGAAAACAAATTGTCACGATGTAACCAAATAAAGGTTGTACCATTCAATTGGCAATAACCATTTATTTATAGATACATTG